ATTTGCCTTGCCTTGCCTTGCCTACCAATGACACGGCTGCTGGTTATAGTTCAGGATGCAGTTGAAAACAGGCAATCCTGGAAGAAAAACCTGCAAAAGTTCTCAGCCTTAGTCTTCATGCCCTGCTGTGCTTCATATGTGCTATTTATTCATGATATCACCAAGTGCTGCTGAAGCCTGTTAATCACCTGTTCGTTTGGAGCAGGAGGGGCCCAGTCACCTTCCAGACCCTAGATCCAAAGAAAAATCTGTGAGAGGCTTAAGGATTGTTGCTCACACCCTCTTTTTTTTCCTGTAATTTATTTTCTTTTGCAATGAAAACAGTAAAAAACAGATTTACACACAGCTGTTAGAGACACAGCTCAGGGAATCCCACGCTGCACATGAAAATACATGTCAAACTCTTTTTACCATAAGAGCAGGCACACATTTCCTTCCACAATTATGCGTCTCTTCATGTTAATCTGTGACAGAAATCTCGGTAATGATTGTAATGTTGCCAAAAGAACATTAATTCATTAAAATGCACGTTTTAAATTACATATTCTGAGTTGAAAAACATATTTCTAGTCAATTAAATTAACACTAGTTTTTCTTGCTATACTTATTTACTTCTTGTTAGTCCTGAGAGGCTCATTTAATTATTTTTTCAAAAAGCAAACAGGAAATTGCAAGCTTGTTTCTGCACAATAAAACGCGCTTAATGAGCACCAGCTAATGCTGAAACTGTAGGTTAAGGTTGTAATAATAAATAGCGCTCCAGGAATATGGCTTTGTTTTCATTCCTGGATAATGAGTATTCAGAGTCACTGAGGTCCTGTTGTGGTTTTAAACCACTAAAACATCTCAACACACACACATGATCTCTGTTTCACTCTGCTGTTACTCTGTGACATGATGCATTACCTTGCCCTTTGGATCTGAGTTCTTTAGCTCAACCCTGAACTAATTCTTCTTCTAAGCCGCAGCTAAAAGTCGGATCAGACGTTTGCATCTTCTAATCTTTGGCATGAATGTTTAATTAATTTGGAGCTTATAATGTTTTAGTTTGAATTGGTCCCTTTATGTTGGCTGGCCTGGTCACACAACACAATGTTTAATGGATTTTTCAAGCAACAACTGAGGGGGGATATTTAAATTAATTGTCTTTTTTTGCTTCTTTCTTGCAAATGGTCAGACTTAAACATACAGATGTTTCAAAACAGACTCATGTTTGGTCGAATATGACAGAGTTCATTTGAATTTCCCGACACAGACTCTGCTTTTAGGCATGGATTGTCATTGAGCTCAAGACCGGGGTCATACCAAAAGCTCAATGTTGGCTAACTTTATCTGTTCCACATGTTACAAATCCTGTTTCATGTTTGAAACATTTAATATTGGAGAATTTTTGAAAAGACCTATGGAGGATAAAAAGTGCCA